AGAGAGAGAGAGAGAGAGAGAGAGAGAGAGAGGTAATTAGCTGCAATAATACCGATGTCATAAATCATATATATATATCTATCAATGAGAATCTTAATGTGATGTGACAACATGATTCATTAACGTAATTATGATTATCATCATTATTATCAGTTAATTAGACAGTGGTTTAAAGGGATATGCATTGCATTCATTGTGAGAGGACTTCATTAGCACTAATAGTATCATCATATCCATTCCATGCATATGTATAACAATTTTGCCCATTTGTCTCATTACATTGCATCATCACAACATACCAAACACCATGCGGTCTCAAAATTATAAATTATTTTTTAATCAATTAATCAATCAATCATAGCTTTTTAAATTATTATATATATAATAGTTTCGCTAGTTGTTTACTATTATTATCATAAGATTAATATTTATAAAATCACTAATCATTGATCGAATGTCGTTGATTTTTCGAATCACTTATTAAAAATATTTTATTTATTCAAGACAACGACTATACGATACGAGCATAGTGAATCATTGATATCCGTCTGTCTTACGATACAAATAATGTGAGATCGTATATCTTTCTCAACATCAAACAATTAACGATATAAATATTAGTTAAAATTTAATTAAAAAAATATAATCATGATAGTTGAAAAATTAAATATTGATGAATGTTGGTAAAACTATCCTATTAAAATTAATCTACACGAGACTATCCTATTAATCAAATATATTTCTAATCTTAAATACCTGAATTTATTCGATAATAAAAAATATAGAATAAACCATAAAAAGTACTCCATGATTGCTTGCCGAGTGACTATGCAATTAATTTCTCCCATGGAATGGGAACAAATATTTCTTTTTTCTAAAAAAAATAAAAGCTATATTAGATTAATCGGAGCCATAAAATACAGAAAAAACAAAAAGGACTACAGTCAATTGCTCTACCAAATTAAATTGGCATGTCGATGGGCACAAATCGATTGCGATTGCGATTGCGATTGCGATTGCGATTGGTTGGATCACACAACAGTGGATTTGGGACAAAATGGAGATGAGAGTGAGGTCGTCACATCATCCGTATGATTTCACGGTGTCGGATGCTACCAATCCGTGGACTATTATTATTTGCCTGCCCACTTAAGCAAAGCACAATTACGTGGCCCCCACCACCTACCGTACTCGTTTGTCTCCGAATGAGGTCACGCCGTTTTGCACCGTCTAATCCCCCTTACCAAATTGAGTACCGCAAGCATGCATCGATACAATACACAAAATTTCCATCAAATGTTCAGATGATTTATGGGTTTTAAATCTACATAATTAAAGTGTTTTTTTTTATTAATTGAGATAATATCCGATCGAATATATCACATCAGTTTTTGATTCATGAACTACTTCCATAACAACTATCTTTAGTGATAGAAAAAATTATTACCTTTTACTATGACTAACTTGTGTGTCGGATAAACTAAGTCATAGATCTATCAAGTATGGTCTTGGATCGTAGGAGAGATCATGAAGACCTTATTTCGTGTTGGAGATCATCAACATAAATTATCTATTCCTCGATATTTGCTCAAGATAATTCATATCACATACCTAAGGTTATCCTTATAATTCAGATCGACGATCGGCTTCCATACTAATATTTATGTAAGAAAGATAAAATTACTAATATCACAATTTAGGATGGTAGTATCCAAATAAATATGAGAATAGAGGCTAAGTATCTTCTTAATTGATTAATGATTAAGTATATAATTAATATTAATTAATATTGAATCAAAATCACTAGGGGTTAGAAAATGAAAATATTCTAAGGTCAGTTCCAAATGAAAATATTCAGACCTAATACTGAATATATTATTATATCTGAATAAAAAAAATTGCTCATGGATAAGATTACTACTAAATTGGATTCTATGAATTAAGTCTTAAGAATTTTGGACTAATGTATGAGTTTGATTCTATGAAAACATTGCTACAGCTCAAGACAGGAGGAGGGGCAATCCCCTTCTTCCTAAAAACCTCCTTTCATTCCTTGTTGATAGCCAACCATCTATCTCTCCTTGTTTATGGGATGGATGGATGGATACCTTCTGTTCCAGAACAATAAATTCCTTCATGCAAATTGCTTTTGCTGCTGCTTTTGAGCTGAGCAGATACCAATTAATTGCAATGCATGATACATTCAAGCAAACAAAAAATGGTTATTAGCTACAGCTTTGGAATCAGACTACACTGCTGCTTGCTCTTGTAGACGAAGGAGAACAAGCTCATCTCCTTCGACCTCGCCACTCCTTCTAACGTCAACAATTAGTTGATTGCCTGAGTTATGTCCTCGAATATCCTCAACCTCTTCCCCATCTTCCTCTCGCACAAACCTGGGCTTTTGCTGCTTGAATTGGTGCGGTTAGCATCACCTTCCTCGTCTGCAAGAAGGGGTGCCAGAACTGCGGCAACGATTGCCTCGTTGAATGCGTTGTGGTCCGGCAACTCCGGCCACGTATCCCCTTCCTCCTCAATGGAGGTAGAGCTTCTGCTACTGAATTCTCTCTCTGCTGTTGCCGCTGTAGCGACTTTGGGCTGTGGAGCCTTCTCCAACGACTGCCACGACCTTGTCCTCTTCAGATTCCCAAGAGGATCGTGGAGCTGATGATGGACTGCACTCAGGTCTTTCGTCAGCTTCGACGAGAAAAATGGCGGCGCGTTGCTCGACATGAGATCCGTCTTCGGGTTGCTGCTGACCCTGTTCAGGCTGTTGACGTTCTCGTCAGCGAACTGGTCTCGCAGCGGCGGTAGCATCAGGTGGTCGACGCAAGGCTGCGGTTGCCATATCAAGGCAGACCCGCCGAAGGCCTCGAACAGCCAGTTCTGATCGAGGAAGAGGACGTACAAGTCTCGGGCGTCCGCATGGAGACTTTATGCGGACACAAGTTACTGTCCTGGAGTGAGTCACCAATGGAAACCTGCAGGGGTGGCGTCGCCCCTTCCGGTCTCTCGGAGCCGTATCACGTCCAGGAAGGGGCAAACCAACGTTGGAATGGAACAGTGGCAAACACCGATCAGAAAGCGATTCCGAAAGGTTCCTTCTTGGTGAGGAGAAGATTCAATTAGAATTTGAATATCTCGAATTTGGTGTAACTTTCAACATAAATATTTATATAGTAAAAAAATTAGTTGAAACGTTCTCTGTATATTTTTCTCTAAGATAGATGCATAGGATGTTTTGCTCGGTTCATAAGTCATTTTAATGTTTATGGCCTAAGCAAACTTATCACATGCGATGCATCAAGTGTTTTAATACATATGTCTTGGGTGGATGCATCACGTATGACATTATTTTTTTCCTAATTATAATGTAATAAGTACTTTGATGTTTATGTTTTATGTGGAGAGCGAAAAAATATTTCACTTAGTTAAGATGCATTATTCATATTTATACTTATGTTTTGAATAAATACATAAGGTACAAAGATACTTTATCTTTACTTGAGTTCAACAATCATTGAGTTGAACAGTAGTGATAGCAATAACACGATATTCAATGATAATACTTTATCTTTAATTTAAGTGATTCACTAATAGAGAGAGAAATAGTAACTTCTTTCGCATTCTACATAGTGATTCATTAATAAGTCTTGAATATACTGTGAGAGGAGGAGACCTGAGGATATAAATATTGCTTCGATTCCCAAAAAGTAGCTCAAGGGTCCTAAATCTTTGAGGGAGAATCGATTAGCCAATTACTTTAAAAATATCTGAATCTCCAAGGAATCATTGCCTATAACAATAATATCATCTATATGTACTAGAAGATATATTGTATTTCCATGTTGTTATCGTAGGAATAAAGAGGTGTCAAACTTGGAGTTGATGAAGCCAATTGATATAAAAAATGATCCAAGTTCAGTATACCAAGCTCTTGGAGCTTGACAGAGTCCATAAATGGCTTTTTATAATTTACAGACATGTCTCGGATACTGATGATGAACAAAGCCAAGGGGTTACTGCATAAAAACATCTTCAGTTAGAGTCCCCTGTAAAAAGATATTGTTAATGTCAAGTTGTCGTAAGTGCTAGTCTTTGGAGATGACCAAACTTAGAATAAGCCGAATTATTGTGGGTTTAACTATAGGACTAAAACTCTTTATAAAGTCAACTCTATATCGTTGATAAAACCTTTTGGCTACTAATCGTGCTTTATATCGAGCAACGGACCTGTCGGGGTTCCGCTTAATTCGGAAGACCCATTTATACCCGATAATGTTTTGTGTAGGATAAAAATGTACAAGAGTCCATGTGGAGTTATGGAGTAGAGCATCATATTCTTCACACATAGCTTACACTAGTGAGGAGATTTTTGTGCTTGAGTAATTATGGTGGGTTCACTGGTCTCGGAAGAGGATTTAGTGATAGTATGCGGGTCGAGAACTTGACATGGTTTAAAGACACTACTTTTTGAGCGTATTGTCATTGGATGTTT